CGGCACAGCATGCCAGATACATTACGCTCATCGTATGGGCATTCGGCATCATCGGGCGTTGTGTGTTGCCCGAGACTCGAGTTTTTAGTATATTGTTTTGGCCGTATCATTTCATCAACCATTCGAATTCTGAGGCAGCATCCATGACTGTCGGAATGGAAGCAAACACAGTCAATGACGCCTTATAGCATCGGTATATGACGAAGCTAATGACGCCTTAAGCATCGGTTGCGTTATCTTTCTAATCTTGCGAACATTGCAGCGTGCAGGGACGAGGAGACGCATCATTTGTAATAGGTTTGTTAGTTTTTCTGTTGACTGAAATTTAGGTTTGTGAGGTCTGGTTATTTCAAATCGGTTCTTTGCTGTCTTCTGGGCAACCGCCGTGTTGGCTTAAAATACCTTATCTTACCTCACTTTACCGGATATAGTACTTGGAGTGCCCATATGACCAGCAGCGATTCTGTTTTGTCTGTTAGTTCACTGGCAACTGTTGGATTTCTTTTGTTTGGTGGCTGACCATGGGGTCTGTCGGGTCTTCTGGTCGGCTGTCTGGTCTGTATTTTGTCTGCTGGTTTCCCGCCGGACCTGTCTGGTCCGTGACTGTCGGGTTTGTTATCGGGCTGGACTGCCGTTCGGCTGCACTGGTCGGTCAGTGGTCTGTGTCGGACTGCCCTCTCTCTGGTCTGTACCGAACTGGCAGAACTGCCGGTCTGCGTCAGTCCCGTCTGCACTCTCGCTGTGGTCTGTGTCTGTCCTGGCTCATGGCTGCACTCTCGCTGTAGTCTGTGTCGGTCTGTGTCTGGCGTCTGGCGCCGCCGTCCGCAGGTGTGTGGGACGTACCCGACCGACCGAGCAGACACGGCCCGCCGGCCCGACACGACCACAATGGCTCTCCTGAACAGTACACCAATTAGCCGACAAAGCGGCGGCCGTGATTGGCGGCATCCGACGGCCATTTTCGGCCCGTCATGCTCCGTAATTAATCATCACGTCAATGCGTGGCGCGAAACGGGCCGACGCCTCACTATAATTTGATGCTGATTCGCGGCCTGCTGCTGACAGCGAGCATGTGCTGCTGCATATGAACAGGCTGCCACCGCCGCCGGTCGGCACCCGATGCCGGTGAGTGCCACAATTACACGGCGTAATTGTCATACCTGCACAAAGTGGCTGACAGAATAACTATGAGTGAAAAGAACGGGCTGATTTGGGGGTTGTAAGCCGAGGCTTTCAAAAACTCGAGCGCCCGTCCACGACCTGGGTTGTGATGAAGACACGACTGCACATTTTGCAACACTAGCACATGCTAACCACAAAATGCCAGTGCTTTGGCGAGACAACCGTCAGCTCTGAATATAATTAGATGCTTGTCTGTTCAAACAAAATATGATATAGCGTACGTGCCACAATCACAACTGCATGCGTCTGTACAGGCGGTAGCATACGAGCTATACAGAAGCTGACAGGCGCCGGGTGGAGCCCAAGAGGAAACCTAGCCGTCAGCAGCGTGCTTTCATGTTTGCAAAATACAGACACATGCATTCCTGATCACAAAGCACTAAAAGTAGCCACTTTTCAGCCTCAGCTGCCGGTTGCCGCGCCGCCGCCACCTCCAGTGTGTGGGGCTGCGGGTCGGCAGCTGTGTAGCTGCTGTGAGGGTGCCAGGGCCAGGCGCCGCCCTGCTCCCACACCGGGACGCTCGTGTTGTCTCAACGCCTCGCCCGACACGCTATCAAAGCGCGCGAAACGCGAGCCGCGCGCCCCGAGCGCGCCGCCTCCGGTTACACGAGCGACAATGGCCGGCCGTGCCGCGCGGCGCCGCCGTTTGTCAAAATATTATTGTTTGCTCGGTGTGTTGGCGGCGTGGCCGCGGTCAGGCATCTCATTATATGGCCAGCAGCGTCCGGAAATGACACGGACGGAGAGAGTGACTGGGTGTGGAGCCGGTGCCATGCTGACTTTTGAGTTTTGACTTATGCCAGGTGTCAAAATAACCGGAAAGGTTCAGCCTGCGGCGGCTCCGCCATGGTTTTAGGATTGAGGGACCCCAAAATGCACATCTTTATGCATATAGTCACTCAGAAACAATTTTTAGGCATCCTGACTACCACAGCTCCCGATGGCGGAACCCTTGGCTTTGCCTACATACTCTTAGGCATGTAGATCTTGTGTATGTAATGGAAAATAAACTAACCCTTAAGTGGAATAAAAAAAAAAAAATAGGCATGTAGATGACCAAATAATAGAAAGGCTCATCATGTATTTGAAAACGGTAAACGAAAGTAAATCTGAAACGGCGAGGACACACCTACTATTGCACAAGTGTGTTTTCCGTTGTCAAGTCGCTCGAGTTCACCTTGATATGATCGATGCCATTTCCTAAGCTCGTCGCCGAAAACAATTTTGGCATCGATAGGTTGAACATTTATGCGAGGCACTGATTTTTTCTTCAAACTTTGCCACCGGCCACGTAAGTACAGGTCTCGCGAGATTAAGCGGTAGGTTTTGCACTTTTACATTTTCGGTTATATCTCAATATATATTACTGACCGGGCCGACGAAATTATTTGGAAACGAGGTTTGCAAAAATTGACGGAGGCCCGAGTGCGGAGCACGAGGGCCGGAGTCAAATTTTGCAAGCCGAGTTTCCAAATAATTTCGTACGGTTGAGGTCAAGTTGAGGTCAGTAAGATTTTTCCTACATGCCGCATACCTACATATTAAAACGTTTTGACAGGTTTTGGTGACACTTATATAATTGTTTTGCCCACAATTTCCTAACAATGATTGCGCTACTGCTGTGGATAAAGTTTTGAAGGAAATTCAAAGAAGAAAATGCATCAAAATACCTTACTTCAAACGGAATCGTCTCTGAAAACATGCACAACAATCGGATATCCAAGGAACATAATACATGAATGATTTGTCACGACATAAGAACAAGAAGAAGGTATACTATTCCTAGTGATTAAACGTGAATTTTCCAGTCTTCTTGCAGAAAACCTTTGCTTTATATATGTAATCGTGATGTGTTGATGCCCTATGGCAAAACGTTCGTGAAATACATTGTATTTTCCATATTTTACATGTTTGTTTCAAGGAAAGGACTATACAACTATCAAATAATACCTCAATAAATAAATAAACTCAGGCCCAAGGAAACGGTGTACATATAAAACGAAGATATGACAACAAGCGATAATGGATTTCGGTTAATAGGCGCATATCTAACCATAATTTTGGCTTTGTATCCAATACAAAATATTTAAAAGCCCTTTATAAGCAGAGCAGATATTCTTTACCAAAAGTGATAGTTTTCTAATTTTACGATGCAAATATCATGCAATAATGATGTCAATTATACATTCCCTGGGTCAATACCTCTGGGCTAATGCGATAAGCTCTATAGTTCAGAGGTCATTGCCTTGGGCAGTGAACCCGGGCAGTAAACTTTTGTTTCCTGCCCGGCCTATCAAATAACATGGCATTTTGACACCGACAGTTTCTTGGTCATAGTTTTACTGCCCGGCTCGTGCTGTGCTTAAGACATACCCCGGCATGTAGGAAATAGGTTTCCTAGACACCTACTAGCTGTACTAGCCAAGTACTAGCCGTACTAGCTACTTGTCCAACAAGTAGCATACTTTAAAACTCCAGTCACGTGCGAGTTCTGCTGTTTGCACTGACACTGCGGCTGATTTAATGCTTCCAATTGGCACAACCCTTCACGGCAGAGAGCTCCGACAATGGCTTCCTCATCGTCATCCGTGGCCATCAATCGTTTGGTCCATGGTCCTCGTGTTTGAGAACATTTTCATTTCGGAAATTGCTGTTTAAACAAGCTAATAACCAACTGAACGTCCGATGTTGTTTGCAGAACATTTGCATTAGCTGGATGGTGCCTATAAGTGGGCATTCGTGGATGATGTGTGCATATGTACATTATGCACGTATGTTTGCACTGGAATGTTTCTGACAGGAGAAGGGGAAGGGAAACACGGGCCACTGGGTGCTGGGATGGAAATTCTGTCCCTATGACGGCCCGAAACTAGACGAAACATAGCGCATATTGTATATAGGTACATTGGTGTTTCAATGTGTGCCAAACACTTTTCAACTATAGAAGTACAAACATTATGATGATGAATTGGCTAATGGTTATTTTCTTTCCGTGACACAAATGGAGCTCAATCTTGAACCTTTCGATGTTGTAATGGCTGTTACGTGGCACAAGCCACAAACTTCTCAATCAATTTCTGTCTAGCTCTGAAGTTTCGCTATGTTTCATCTCGAATTCCAAAGCCTTAGGCACCTAATAGGTAGCAGGTATTTGGTATACGTCTAAACTGCCTTAGTTTCTCCAAGGAACGCAACACAAAAATGCACACATCTGTCGTTCACAAACGATACAACACACAAATGCATTAGCCAATGTATTAGCGTAGAAAAAAGTTGATTTTAAATGCAAAACATTGCCGCGCAGCAAATTTCATATTTTTATTCTGGCTCCACCTATAACAGTAGTTTAATCAGATTCAAATGCACAACCATCAAAAAGCCACCCGCAGAGGTTACCATCAATCAGATCTTCACATTTTAGCTTACTGTGAGTGAAAATAACGTATAAACACCGAATCGCATTCGAGCACTAGGATTTCTGCGCTCACCCAACTCACCGGCAACGAGGTGAGTTAGTGAGCTGGGGAGCCAGTGAGTTAGAGAGTTGGCTGGCGGCCTTCTTAATGGTCCCCCTTAGCGCCATGTCGATTCGGTCCGTCTAAAGGAGTTATATCGTGGGAAAATGAGTGTTCTATAGCATAGCACATCTGTCGCGCCTGTATCGCGTAAAAGCACTATCGGCAGAATCGTTCAGCTGCGCACAGCGCTAAAATGACGTCAGACACGCACCGACTGAAGACGAATTTGTGGTGGCCGTGGTTGAGTGACGAGAAAAGACGTGGAAAACACAAACTGACAAGTGGCATTTCTCTTCGCAGATTTAGAAAACCACGACACGCTGCTGGGGCGCGACTTCCATCAAGTAGGACACTCCAAGAAAAAGAAGAAAAAACGAAGGCATCGGTAACATTTGTCGTAAATGGAATAACATGTATTTGCTTATGTCTGTATTAGTATTGCCGTCTTTGACGTCTGATTTCTTTGATATTTGTAATCCTGCTCCTGCCTAAGCTACTTCGTGCACTGTGAGATTAATTATGAAACGTTGTCGATGTTCATCGATACATAACGTAGTTTTGACATCCTCCTCGTTCTCTCGGCTGCAATAGGACGATATTCACCAGCTTCCAAGTCGAGGAACTGGAAAAGGCCTTCAAGGAGGCCCACTATCCGGATGTTTATGCCCGAGAGATGCTGTCCCTGAAAACGGACCTGCCCGAGGACCGAATACAGGTATGACAAGTGACAACTACTGCAAGCGTTGGGCATTTGACCCAAAAGTTGCTGTGGTTGTGCAAAAAATTGCGTTTGTGACAGATAACATTTGTTGGAAGTGCGTGACGCTGGCTGCTCAGATGTAAGAGACATAAATATAGCAAGAGAATTTAAAATATTCAGTTGAACTGAACCCACCAACAATAGCTGGAATGCAACGTGGCAGTTTTCCTGGCCACCGAATCGTTTAAAACAGGAGAGTAGACCTATCTATTTGATCTCAGTGATCGACAAAATGTAGGCATACCCATCTGGCAGCTTATCGAAAACTGTTCTGGTACGCGTTCTGGTAACGCCACTCTGCCTCCTATGGGACTCGGGACTGTTAAATTAATCCCTTCACGGCCGAGCCCCCGGCGAAATATTTGCACCCTTTGCCGCTCCCCCAGCGAATTATCATTCATGAAAGATCTCCTGTCGCCAACAGGTGCCCACCAAATGGGTGCGTAGGCACAAAGGGGGATTAATTGGTAACGGGCGGGAATCGATGGGTGCTTAAAGTCACTTTATTGACGGTCTATTGGCACCGGGATGGTCGGGAGGAGTCAGTCACGGGGCAATAATATCGAGGCAGCAGCGTTCTGAAGGAACTTTACTGCTTCTGGGAAATATATATTTTATCATTTGCATTCCAAATACATTTTCCAAATCATTTGCTCAACATAAGAAGACATGAATTCCAAGTGCGACTGTGCTAATCTATGATATTAAGTATGTAAATAAAGCATCGATGATCAGTTAATCAACGTCGAACGATTTTCTTTCTTTCTCGAGCACTGAGTATATTTCCAAGCTGCTATATTTCACTATATTTCATTTCATTTTCATTCACCATATTTCACTATATTCCAGTATATTGTAAATGTGACATCTTGGTGCCTTTTCCTCGCTAAAGCATCTAATACTACGCTTCTCGATGTAGAATAGACTGCAAAAAAGCATACATGGGTTATTGTGTGCCACCAAACCAGTCCTCACCCAGAACTTTATTTAATTCCTACTTTGAGAAGCTGCCTTCATCGCATCCGTGTAACAAGATGGCGTCGGTAACACTTCGTTAAGTGTCGGTGGCGGCCTGAAATGGGCACTTACGTGCTCCTGCTGACATGGTCCAATTTGGACACGCTACTTATCTTGCATATAACCACAAAGTCTAGCAGCCACGACACTCCAAGGAACAGTGAACTTAATTGAATCGTTCCTCTGGGACTGCAGCTCTGAGCCATACATTGCATTACTCTCAGTACGTTTAGTGAATCATTTAAATACACCGTAAGCTCCCTTGCTGGAAACGGGCACGCACTACCTTAGTTGGACGGTATTGGAATTAGCAAACCGTTAAAAAATCTAGTAAATCATTAAGGACGGCATAAACAAGTCTGCTACCTGCGATGCGAGTGATCCTGTAACAAAAATAATATATTTTCACATCCATGATCAAAAGTTATGACAATTTTTCGAAATGCTGTATCCAGTTGCGCAACATAATATTATCGTCACCCCACACACCGTCACCACGTCACTTCCCCTCCCTCCTTCTGGCCCCTACCCTCCACCATGTCCCAGGTCAGCCGTCCGCGTGGCTGCCGAGTCAAATCGCGTGGCAGCGCTGCTGGCGGTCCCGCCCCGCCATCGCGAGGGTGGGGGAGCGCGTATCGTGCTACTGCCGGCCAGCGCGGTTCGCCACTCGCCGTGCGCCGGGGCAGTGCTCTTGGCACCATCATCGCCAGTGAAAACTCCTTCAGGGGTGTGTCTCTCTCGGGCCCTGTAGCAGAGAAGGTAGGCGGTGGCGTCTCGAACGCTGGCGGCAGAGCACTCTCTCACTTTAGAGTCATCCATGAAGAACCAGCTGTCGGCGGGATGATTGAAGCTGTACGCTGTGTAGTGGCCGCTATCTTGACTGCCGTGGTGCTCTACCACGCCATAGAGGTCGTAGACCAGCCTGTACGTGTTGGGGTGCGACCCAACTGCCAGCCGACTCAGGTCGAGGTCCCGCAGGGGGAAGGTCACCTGAGCGTGGTTCTTGCGCGCGGTGCCGCCTGCGAAACTGAACCTCTTCAGGTGGAGGATGACAATGGGTGGAAGCCACCAGAGGTCGAGTTTCTTGTGGACGTCGCACCGACACTGACACTTTGGACAGGTCCAGTCCGTGATGAGGTCGCCACGTACGTACTCGTCCAGACACTGAGTCAGATTGCTTTTGCCTATCGCTAGCGGCAGCGACAGCAGAGAGAATGTTTCAAATGTGACCGACTCGGACCCGCAGCCGGTGCAGAGTAGTGTCGACTTATGCAGCCCGTGAAACAGTTGCGTCACTATCGAGCTGTTGTACCGCTGGAAGTCGCACCACGCCGCCTCGCCTGCCTTGATGTTCAGGAGGCCTTCCGCCGGCGGTCGGGGAGGCAGTTCTCCAGTCGTAGTCACAGCATTCAAGTCGTCGTGCAGCCAACTAAGTAGCAGGATTATAAACTCATGCGCGTCTTGCATTTCCATGCCGCCGAAGTCCCTGCAACGAGCACTTACTGCATTGCGAAAGCGGTGAGGTGATATGCATTGAAACTTTTGCGACCAAATTACCTCAAACAGCTGAGAGATTTCCGTCGCCACCTGACCTTGGCTTAGCGGCTGCTTGTTCGTGTTTTCATAGAGAAACTCGCCTACCATGTATTTCACCAGCGCTTGCGTTTGTGCGAGTATCTGGAGGACGGCGTTCATGTAGCAGGTGTTCCCGAGGTTTTCTAGGCCAGCAGAACCGGCCGGGAGAGACGCTGCTTTGGTTTTCGAAATGAGGAACGAAGTAGTCCTAGAGATTCCTTCGTCTCCGGTTGCTGACTGGCGAGGCGCTGGTGCTGCTGGGGCGGTCTTCGGCTGGCCAGCCGAGACTGTTCCAAAGCTGGTCAGTTCAGAGGCTGGTGACATAAAAGAATATCGTGGACACATTGCAATGGACTTCGCATCCGCACTTGAGCATGTGTGATGAGGCTTGCTGGTGTGACTTGGCGACACATAAGCGCCTGTTGGGATGTGATGCTCTTGCGTGGCAGCGTCAAACACTGACTGTGGCGCAGAGCCTCGTACTGCAGCTGCGTTGCCTCGGATGATGGCCATTGAGACACGCTGCCAGAGCCAAGCCGTCTCACGCCTTTCGCCGGTCGCAGCTACCAACAAGCGACCTAGCTCGTTGATGAAGCTAGTGGAGGCTGGGCCAACAACTCCAGATGTTTCGACTGCAACCGGCGTAAATAAGTACTGCGTTGAGATGGTGAGGTATCGGTGCTTCTTACGCGTCTCTGCAGCCAGGGCAGCCGATCCCGGCTTTAGTGCTGAGTTAACGACTGTGCTTTCGGCGTATGTGTCCGTGCAGGTCGCGTCCCAAGCTAAGCACTTTCCGCATTTAAATGGAAAGGTCGTCAGCCCGTCCGGTCGTCTCCCATCTCCACGGTCCAGTCCTACCGGCTCAAGAACTGAAGGGATGCCGGCGACGGAGAGGCTACGCTTTACCAGGTCATTGAGCTGGGCGTGGCGCGGGAGACGGCCTGCACTTTTCTTGCACGATAGAGCATGGTGCCCAAGGTGACCAACAATACCACCACAGAGGCGGCAGGCATGTTGCTCGCAAACGGGAGCGCCGAGTCGGAGAGCGATAGCAATTCTGACTGTTTCGGGGTCCAAATGTAAGCCTAGACTGGGCACGGGAACCGCATGCAGCCATGCACCGGTATGTGGCTCACTCGAGGCTAAAAGACGCGCCCTGTGAACTTGGTTTGCGTCTTTCAATAAGCTTTCCTTGATGATGGTACACGCCGCGTCATCCCATGTTCTCTGTCGTCCGGCCACCGATGGACCAGGAAGAGTGGTGAGGCCGGTTCGGGCGAGGAAAGAGGCATGGGCTGGTTCGAGAGCTGCGGGCGTAGCGCCATTCGCCACGATGGTAGGTATAACTGAGGCGATGAGGGATGGAGCTGCTGTCAAAGAAGCGATGTAGCATGGTAAGGCCAGGGTCTCCACCGAGCGAACCCCCAGACCCCCATGCCTAGTGGGCAGAGACGCTTGTATCCAAGCCCTGTCTCCGATTGCGACGTTGGAAACGTCAGTGAGTGTCAATCTGACAAGTTCATCGATTGCCTGTAATCCTGTTAGGTTCTTGTACATCGGACTGGACCGTAGAAGGTACTGTAGTCTAGGAGCTGACGTATGGTGAGAAAGGAAGAAGATGGCAGTATGTGCGTCCAGCATGCGGATTCTGTCGCACAACATCTTCACCGTAGAAGCGGCTATTTCTTGACAAATAGAAATACTACCCTCGCCTAGAGGAGAGCCGAGTAGAGTTAGTTGGTCCATTGCAGTTTCCATAATTCCTGGAAGGGCATCTTGTATTTTCCTCACAGTGCAGGAATGAAGCTCTTCCGAGGGCTTCCCAAGGACTGCGACCTCACATTTTGAGCTATTTAGTTCCAAGCCGAGCTCTTGTAGCGTGCATTGAATTTTCTCCTGGTCCCTTGCGACAATATCAGCGGGTCCAGCTATTGTCGCGTCATCCAAATACCATACGTTTAATGGTGATTTCATTGAGCGAGCGCACTCGTCTACGGCTAGGGAAAAGGCGACTGGGCCCAGCGGGTCCCCTTGCTGTATACCGGAGCAGGACCAGATGGAGTGGCTTCCGATGAAGAGAGGAGTCGGGGCGCTGTACGCCTGAAAGGCGAGTCGGTATATTTCAGGACATCGCAAGAGGATACTTTTAAACATCCGGTCCCTCCTAACGGAGTTGAAGGCATTTTTAACATCAACTTTTACCAGAACCGATGGCAATGAGGTGCCAGCCATTGATGAAATAAATTCGCGGGTGGCGTGAACTGCCAACTCACACCCCTGGGCCCTGACGAGTTCCTACACCTAGCTGGACAGGCCTGAACTCATGGGCAAGGAGACTGGCTGCATGATGGGCGGCTATCCGG